GGCTTGCTTGTTTTGGAAGTGAGCAGACCTCCAGGAATCCTACCCCTCATTCTTCATCTCTGTAGCACAGGGTCGAACCCATGGTGGCTGCAGAGTGAAGCCTTTGAAATCCATTACGCCACTAGAGGCCCGGGACAAGTTCAGTGGATTGATTGTGTTTGCTAATGCATTTTAATAGAGAAAAAAATTAACCAAGTCAGGTGGGGAAACAAAGGTATATAGGTTTTCTCTATGTAAGACTTCTCAAAGATTTCCATGAAAAGGTACACTACAAACCTCCCAGAGGGGAATAGAATGTATAGTATTTCCACAGAATAGTTCACAGAACATCTGTCTCCAGGAATTGGCATTTCTTTTGAATCAAATGACAGCATTAACAAAAAGTAGATTGATATAGTGTCTCTGTCCATTATTTAACTCTTGTTAGATTTCTAAAACCCAGAGTAATATATAATGGATTTATGTGGCCTTTTGTGGACCAGATTTTGTCAATGGGCTGTAACTTGTTGGCCACTGTATTTGAGATAATGACAACAAAAAAATTAATATAACAATAATTATACCTACTGGTAATAATATGACATGTTTCTACAAAAGTTTTTAATGTATTTCCATATTTTATAGCTAATAAGATATATTTACACATGATATAAAGCATGTGATATAGATATACACATGTTATCTTCTGATTCAATGACATTGTTGCATTGTTTCTTAAAAATCTAGAGTGTTATGCTACAAAATTCCCTGTGAAATAGAAAAGGTAGTTAGAGCTTTGGATACTGTATGTAGCTGTATTAGTTAGGATTCTCTAGAATCTGGAACTGATAGAATGACTATATTTATGTATGTAAGTCTATATGAATATCCATGCATATAAATATTAAAAGGGGATTTATTAGAGTGGCTTATAGGCTGTAGTCTGGCTAGTCCAACAGTGGCTGTCTCTCCATGGAAAGAGCAAAAATATAACAGGTGTTCAGGCCACGAGGCTGAATAGCTGAACTGGTTTTTGGTCTGTGTTAAAATCCTGAAGAAGTCAATTCTAATAACAGTGAAGGAATGCCTCCGCAGCAAAGAGGTGAACTTGCCATCTAGAGTGAGGGCAAGCAAGCAAAGAGCAAAAGCTTCCTTCTTCCATATCCTCTTACGGCGACTGCCACCAAAAGGTGTGGCCCAGATTTTGTGTCTTTCAACCTCAGATGGTTCAATCAGGATAACCCCCCACAGCCATGCCCAGCTGCTTGGGTTTTAGTGGATTCTAAATGTAGTCAATTTGATGACCAAAATTAGCTACTATAGTAGCTAATTTTGTAAACATTTTAATGCTTTAATTTGTGGTCTTTTCTTTCAAGATGCCTTGAGAATTCCTTCATCTTCATGTTTGTCTCATTATCTGTGTATTTCATGTATGAGGGCTGGGCATGCCTGCTGTGGGTACACATGTAAAGGCTACAGGTAAGCTTCCAATTTTTTTCCTCATGTGCCATCCACCTCGTTCATTTTGAGACAGTCTGTCATTGGCCTGGAGCTTGCCGGTGAGGCTAGACAGTCTGTTCAGTGAGCCCCAGGGCTCGGTCTGCTTGTGCCTCTCCAGTGTCAGGATTAAAAGTGTGTCACCAAGTTTGGCTTTGTTACATGGTGTTTGGGATGTAAACTCAGGTCTTCATGCTTTCACAGTAGGCACTTTACTGACTGAACCACATCCTTAGCTCCTCAGTGCATATGTTTTTAAATGAAAAGCTTATTCATCTTATTCTAAGAAACAGCAAACTTGTCCATGTGTGGTGTGCCTGTCCACGTGTCCTCAACGCCATGCACAGGGCACAGCAGTGGATGCTGTTGAGGAAGGTTCTGTGTTAACAGGGAAGTGAGAGGCTGAAATGGGGGCAGCAGAGTAGCTTACAGAGCTGCCAGGCTGATCCTGGGGGATGAGGGTCAGCGTCCTCTGTGCTCACAGACACACTGTCTCCACCACTTCAGTCAGCCATCCATTCTGCCTCTGCTGGCATTTTCCGTCATACCACTGCAATGAGAACAGATCCCAAGGCGACCACAATGATGTACCTGTGGATTGAGTTCAGGCCATTAAATCGCCATCATGCGACCTATCTAATGTCATTATAGTCTAGCTTCAGCAAAGCAGAGAAATAGCAGGTGGGAAAATGGCACAATTACCAATGTGCGTGTCCTCAGACTTTGAGAGAGCCCCGAAGGAAGAAGTCTGTAAGAGATGGTAAGCGCGCGCGCACGCGCGCGCACACACACACACACACACACACACACACACACACACACACACAATTGCACACCGAGAGCCACCATTGGTGAGGAACATTGCAAACTGTACAGAGAAGGGAATTATGGAACTGAGGTTTCAATTGGAGGAGAGCTTGGTGCACTCTCTGTAGGATTATCTACAGCCAAGACTCTTTTTTACCCCCTCTGGAGGCTTGTGGAAGAAATTTTGCAAACCCCCAAAAGGGAAGTGTTGGAAATCACACCGATCACACTGTGGAAGATAGTCTGTGACTTATACTTCTTGTATTTCATTAGGAATTAAAAAGAAGACAAAGAATCCAATTGGACCACAATTTGGGCTACAGCACATAGTCAATAAAGCGTAACAGGTCTATGCATAGGTTTATTTTTGCAGTACTGAGCATTGCATCCAGGGCCTCTCCCATACTCTACCACTGAATTATCGCTACAGCTCCTTTTAACTTTTTATTTTGAGACAAGGTTTCACTAAGTTATCTAGGGTGGCCTCATACTCATTCTATAGCTCAGTCTGACTTTCAATTTGCAATCACCCTGCTTCTGTTTCCCCCTCAGCTGTAATTACAGGTCTGTGTCACAAGACTCAAGTCCATATTTGACTTTCTGAGTTCACCATGTCTTGGATGTGCTCAGCGATTAGTATTGATATTCTTCTAATAGTTTGTTTTGGAATATTTTCCCTAAAAATGTGCTTTAGGGATTTTTAAATAATTTCTTACCTTTGCAGATTTCCCAGGTAACATGCTGCCTGATTCATTGTATTGATTGCATTTTTTTTAGCATTTATGTAATTTATTTTTCTTTAATTCATTGGCAGAATAAATTGTATTAGGTCTCACTTCTTAGAGGAAGACTTGTGCAAAATGTCCACGTCTGGCTTCTCATAATTTTATATTAGTCACTCTTGTTATCGACTCTTAAAAATAGGCATAGGGACTTTGGACAACCCTATGCCTTACTATTATTTTAAAAATGCCTCTCATTTCCTCCTTAATTAGCTGCAATCAGGAAGACTAGTTGGTGGACACATGGTGTTGTAGCTCTGTGAAAAGCTGCCTGATGGCTATAAACATGGCCATATGTTCTCCCTGAAACGTGGCTGTGATCACCTGCGACAGGGACAGCTGACAGAAGAGGCCCTGTCTCCTCCTCCTGTGGTACTTGAGAAACCTGAGGCGCACATTGGCTCAGCGTTTTCCACTAACCGCTGCCGCTTCTGCTAAATGGCTTTTGCATGTTAGCCTCAGTTCTGCCCAGCGTATACTTGAAGCGGCAGCTGTTTACAGAGCAGATTCAGTGCTTCTCCCTTTAACGGCACGACACTTTAATTGGACGGCCTCCTTTGGAAGGCAGGCAGCACGCAGGGTGCACAGGTTTCTAAAACTAAGTCGTTATCAAGGACGAGGACAAAACCATCAAAATTTTCACAGTGCATGTACAAGAATTTCTCGGCAAAGTTCAATAGATTTGCCCTGAACTGGTACAGCTTATAAAACCCTTGAGCCTAATTGCTTTCCTGCATTTGGGCAAGAAAAATAGCTGACTCGCACCAGGGTAGAAAGAAGAGGTTGGGAAGAAAGTGTCTTCTTAAGAAAAGCTTCCAGTGAAAATTTCAATCAATATTTTTAATCCCACAAGATGAGATAAAATATGATACTGTGTTCTGGCAATGAGAGATTGGGGACAGGAGAACAGTTTCAGGAGCCAAGCTGATGAGGGAACAGAGTAACCACCAGCCCCAAGCAGGGCATCTCGTGAGCTTCATGGCGGGGCTGTGAGACACCCGTATGTGGCTTTCCTATGCAAGTAGGTGAGAGAGGGCCATGTATGAGACACATAATGTACTCCCTGTCTCTCCATTTAGCATCACTTGACTGTTTATTACAGTGACCGGAGGAAAACTGAAAGAAGGCACCGATCCACTTTCACATTTAAAAACGCTTTGCATTACTAATTTTGGAACCAGGTTTTCTACGCTTGATTCATATAAACGTATGAGCATATATGTATATATGCTGAGCATCATATATAGTATCGAAGGCTTACTTTATTGCTTTTTCAGTGTTTTGGAGGCTTTGTTAAAGCAGGTCTCTCACCCTTTACCCTTAGTTTTTGCTTTTTTTTTTTCTCCACCTTGTATGCACCACACAGGCTATTAAACGGCGAGCTGGCTGGTGATTGATCTCTTTAATAAAAGCAACTTCTTTAGTAAGCAAAGAGTGATAAAGATAAACAAATGTACTGGTTTGTCCAGCGCGTTGGAGATTATGGCAACACAGGGCACCAAGAAAGCCTATTAACAGATAACTCAGATGAAACCCATCAATTCTGATTTCAGTAAGTCGGGAACCATTCGCTTTAAGTTAATTTTAGCCATGTTTGCTCTTCATTTGTAATACTTTGTAGGTTTTAACAGAAAAATATTTAATAGTGTGCTGTGTAGTCCATAGATAAACGATGGGGGCAATTTCTCCACCTAACTGCTTGTCAGGCCCTTTAGCAAGGTCCACGCCGACCGGTAGTTTATCATCTCGCTTTCTAGATTGTCGTGGAAGATCATTGAGAGGCCCGAGACTCCCCGGAGGACTGTGCTCTAATCCTGTCATTTTTTTAAAACGCTGGAAAGTGTAAGGTTACATGGGAAGATGATTTTACATAAGGCTTTTCTTTAGCTCGTCACAATAGCGCTTGCTTTCCATGGTAACCACTGTTTCCATGGCACAGGCTACAGCTCCTCCAGAGCTGCTGAGGGCCTTTCAGAAGATGCTCACCCACCCACATGTGTGAGAACACCCCCCGTCCTTCTCCCTCCCCACCACTCCCTGCTTCACTCTGCTCCCTCTCCTCTCTCTTCTTGTCTAACCTACCCCTCAGCGTGAATTTCTAAAAGGCATTCACTAAACACAGCAAAGCTCATTTTTCAAATGAAGTCTGGTTTCCTCCCCATTATTCGATCAGATAAATAATAACTGATGTGGCTTTCTGGAATGATCTGGAAATATAACAAAAGCTGGCGCTGTCCTCAGTGACATGGAGCAACAGGATAAAATCTTGAAGAGAAAATTTGACAGGGAAAAACATTCAGCTCTCCACCAGATTTTCTAAATTTATTCCTATTCCTTAAGCCGAGCTAAGTCTGTGGCGCTGCATCCTGTTAGATGCCAAGGCATGTAAAAGAAATTTACAGTTGTGAGGTACGTGGATTCTTTTTGGTCATTTGAGAGAATGTGATTCGGCTAAATAATTAGCAATACAACAGTACTGAAAATACATTGTTAATATAGGACCATACCAATTGTTTCAGGTTTTCTGTCAAACCACACAACTAGTATTCTGTGTCCTCCTCTTTACTTTTATTCTTAGGACTGGGGACATCTACACACTTCAGAAAGATAAAGTCCGCATAATGAAGAATGACTCCCGGGGTACCATCTCCTTAGTTTTCAAGGACACACCACTGTTCTTTTGTTTCTGCTTCTGTGTTTGGTGTCTCCTTTCTCAGCATAGGTGGTTGCTTCTGAAATGAGCTTCCACACGTTTAAAATACGACGTGGGGCTTTCACCTGCCCTGAGAAAGTGCAGATGGACTGCAGTATCACCAGAGTGACTGTTCTGCATTGTCACCCTGTCCTGTGATTTGGGTGAAGGTGGGCAATGACCAGGAGAACATAACCTTTGGGACTGGGGAGATGGCTCAGTGGGTAAAAGCAGTTGCTGTGCAAGTGTGGAAACAAGTTCAAATCCCCAGGCTTCACATAAAAGTTGGATGTGTGTAGCACTGCTACAGTGAGATGTAAGGTGGACAGAGGAGAACACTGTGGGTCAGCCAGCCTGGGATAAGGAGCAAAAAAACAAAATAAAACAAACAAACAAAAACAAAATACAAGTAAGAAACCCTGTCTCAAGTTAAGGTGGAAAGTAAGTACCAACACCAGAGGTTGTCCTGTGAGTTCTAAAAGGGCACCCTGGCACACACACAGATAGACACCCAAGTTCACATACAGGCTCACACACATGCACAAACGTACGCATTCGTAGGCGCATGTGCACACGCGGACCACACACACACACACACACACACACACACACACACACACACACACACGGTGGTGGGGAAGAAACATGGTAACCAAAATTAAATTCATTTCAATTCTGGATATTTTATTTAACATTAAAAAATACATTTTATTTATTTATTGTGTGTGTGTTTGTGTTTACTCACAGACAAGCATTTGGAGGTCTGAGTTGGTTCTCTCCACCATGTGTGTCTCAAGAGTGCCTTTACTCACTGAGCCGTCTCCCCAGCCCAGGATATTTCATTTTCATTAGCTCTGTGACCTTTGCCAAGCAAGCTAGCCTCACCTTTGAACTAGGGCAGGAGAACAGCATTGATAGAAGAGTAACCGGTATTTGTGTTTCTATTGGGGTGGTCATTGTGGCATACTGGTGTTCTGAGTCAAGGGTGGCTTACTCGTTGGTCATTAAGCTGAACAATGCTTCAGTCATTATCTTGATATTGCAGCTACATCAGGATTGATTTTTGGCTCTCAGGTATTTGGAATTCACACACCGAAATAGCAAAACTCCATGACATGCGATCCATCAGAAAGTGAGTCCCATGGATGCAAAGTGGTTTTTCTTCCATTTTGCTCACTACTTGGTCAGAAGTTCTTAAAACAAGGCCTGCACATGGTTGGCACTCCACTAATATTTGTCAAAAGACTCATTACGATAAGAGAAACTTAAACAGAAATGTAATTTACCTAGACTGTAAAGAAATGCTAGCCAGAAGGTGTGATATGTAAGAATTCTCTCAAATATTAGTGAGGCAGCCTGGGACAGCAGGGCATTTTCTTGTACAGATGGCAGGTTCATTTCAAACAGGGGTTTGCCCTTGTGCTGTATCTTTCCAGTGATATCTCATATATACATTCTTACATTGTTCTTTGTGTTTTTGAGAAACTGATGTGTAAAAAGTGCCAATCTTTCTCCCCCCCCTTTTTTTTTGGCTTTATGTGCAAACTAAAATTAGCTATTAAAGCTAACATTAACTCCTTGACTCTTGGGATTTCCTGAGATTGCTCTGGCCAGGTCCTCAATGCTTGAAGGCTTCATCATACACTCACTCACTCATTCATTCATTCAGCAGCCACTGCATGTGAGGTATTCGCCAGATACTGTGGTGGGAACAAATTTTAGTCAGTAGGCATTGGGTATATCCTTAAAGGATTCAGTTGCTGAAAACATTGGTTTGTGGATGAACTGATGACGGTGGAGTTTCAAAAATCAGTAGGCTATGTCCACGTACCCGGCAGCTAGCTACTCTGGCATAAAATCTGTAGAAATCAGCAGGCTACCCATCCAGTTCTCTTTTCCCACCTGAGGGCAACTCTTGGTAATTGTTTTTGGTAAAGAGAAGTGTAAGTGGTCATACCCAATCCATCATTTTTTTTCAAGGAACATTTATTTTCTTGCCAAATATGTCTAATGCTTTTCATAAGGACTTTTCATCTTTTCATGGCCAGAAAAATAAGATAGCTGTGTGAGGCAACCAAGGAAGAGCTGAAGCCCGGAGGTCCCCCCCGGAGAGTCTGAGTAATGAAGATGAAAATCACAGATCAGAAGGAATCTAAGGAAATTTATAAAAGTGCCCCGTGTTAAGTTGTACCTCAAGGCAACGGCATTAACAACCATGGCGGCAGCAGTGGGAAGGCATGATCTGTATGGGTTGAAAGAAGGGAGAAAATTGTGATGGAGGCAAAACCTGCATGTGCCAAAGACAGAGGAAAAATTAACCTGAATGTGATAAGCGAAATACGTGAAACCAACATGTTCTATGATTTTACACACGCATGGAATGTCCAGAGACTACAAGTGGGTGGCATCACAAAGCAAGGTCCAAGGTGGAAATGAAGGTGAACTGCAGATTGCCACAAAGAAGAGTCCTCTATTTTTTCTCTTATTATTCTAACTTTTGTGCATGTATTTGTATGGAAGCATGCTCATGTGAGTGCAGGTGACTTTATGGAGACCAGTGGGGTCATATCCTCCCTGGAGATGGAGTTATCGATGGCTGTAAGCTGTGTGACATGGGTGCTGGGAACCATTTGGATATTCTGCAAGAGTTCTTAACTGCTATGCCATCTCTCTAGCCCCCACTCATTTTAAAAGATTTACCTCTATTTTTGTTTTATTTTTTGGTGTGTGTGTGTGTGTGTGTGTGTGTGTGTGTGTGTGTGTGTGTCCATCCTCCTGTACACATGTCACACAGGTGTGGATACCCAAGAGGATGGAAGCAGCCATCAGATCCCCTGGAGCTAAACTTAGACGTGGTTAGCATTCACATGACTTGGGTGCTGAGAACAGAACTCTGACCCTCTGGAGGGGCAACAGGTACTCTTAAGCAATGAGCAATTTCTCCAGCCTTTAAGAAGACAGTTTTGAGGTGATGAAATATTCTAAAACTCGATCATGGTGATGATGGTTATATAACTTACAAGAAAAAAATCAGAGAATTACTTTACCTATTAAAAATCCGTGAACAATACACTGTTTAAGTATGTGAATTTTATGGCATATGATCTTACCTTAAAAATGTGAGACAGCAACAAAAAGCAAGAAGTAAGGGGTGGAAAGGAAATTGGTATGGCTGTGGAAGCTTTACCAGGGCCTTCATGAAATAAATTGACCAAAATCTTGTTGCTAGGAGGAAGTAGAATATGAATTTCAGTAAGAGAGTATTTGGCTCCAAGATAACGCTGGATAAAGGCAGTGCTAACAGTTGGAGGGCAATAGTAGATTAATGAGAAGGGAATGTTACTTTATTGAAAAACTTTCCAGTATGTTTTTGATTCTTTTCTTAGAAAAGGAGCATGCTGGAAAGCAGCAAGTTTGAAAGCTTAATTTAGTGATAGAATGACAGATGGAATCTTTCATAAAGGCCAGATGGAAGAATGAGTGTGTTACCCAGGTAGGGTGGGCCAAGGTTGGAGGCATGGGAGAGAAAAGAAGGGGAGACATTTGAAAGGCAAGAGTCATGCCTTGATGAGTGACCTCATTGTGTATGAAAGTACTTTGTGCTTTTACAAAGGAACTTCTTCACAGTAATTTATGGAGATCTTCCATGCACAATCCAATGCTTATGTATCTGTATATTTAGTGATACTGTAGGTTGAATCTGTGGCTTCATACAAGCCATGTAAGCCCTCTACATGGGCTAGGAATCTACAATCCTAGTTCAAGAATACCCTGTATTGCACTGTGCTATTGGTCACAGAGAAAGCAGTACCAGACCAGTCGAGAAACTCAGGATGTAGGGGGTAAGAGTGAGAAATGCCAGGCATGGTGGTGGATGCCTTTTCATCACAGCACTTGGAAGACAGAGGCAGGTGGATCTCTGAGTTTGAGGCCAGCCTGGTCTACAAAGCAAGATCCAAGACAGTCAGGGCTACACAGTGAAATCCTGTCTCACAAAACCAGACCAAACCAGAACAAAATAAGTGGGAAATACCTCTGATGGAATTGTGAGGAGAGAAGGGAGATGCTCTTCAGGGAAGGTGGCAAGTCTCATCTGGGCTGCAGGATACCGGTGACACATTGCACACATATTACATTGTGTTCTATACTTTGGGTATGTGTTAGTCAGAGGTCTCAGTCTTAGGTGATAGAAAACCAGCCCAAATGAATCTGAGGCAAAATGGTATCAATTGTCTCATAGTAGTAGGGGCTGTGGGGTTTGTGTGGTTAAGAGGTGCTGTTTAAAACGCTCAGCTTCACTCTCCTGTCAACCAGTTTTTAGTTTGGCTCTCCCTCTGTGGCAAATATTCTACTGAAAACTCCACATTTACATGTTCCTGGCAGAGTATAATCCCTGAAATCCCAGAATTTATTTTTCAGTAATTAACAGATGAGTGTGATGTGGAGTCTCGCTGGCTCATGCTTGTGTCATGTCCATGAGCCAACCCTTGTGGCCAAGGGCATTGGTTTTCTCATTCATTGCAGCAGAGCCTTGGACCCATCCTATGGGGACTGTTACAGTCTGGTAGTGATATATCTATGAAAGGCCATGTTGTCGAAGATGTTGTAGAGGTTCCTTGGGTTCTTAGCAAAGCAACAGAAGCCAAGCCAAGTCAAGCAAGCACTTCGGAGAGAGAATGGAGTGGAACTTGTGCATTCTGCAACTCAGACTTTAAAGAAATTTTAATGAATGCTCATTCAACTGGTGGTTAATGCATAAGGTAAGGTGACTGCTTTACTGTCTTAAATCATGGTGCGCCAGATTTTCCTTTAAAGGTATTTCTACCCTTGACTCCAGCACTGCAAGTGCTATTATGATAATCAAGTCCTCTGAGTCTTCAGCCCTGCTGTTAGGATATGTGTTTGGGAGAATACCTTGGTACCTAATAGAACAACCTAATTTTAGTTTCAAGGATGTCTCACCACAAGGGGCATTTTGATGGTCAGCAGGTGTACTCACCAATATGTATCTGAAGTTTTCATAGGCTGCCTCATATTTGATTCATTGCCTTTGGGATAGGCTGTAGTGGTCTCCTTCTTGGGTGGGCAGAGGCTTTCTTAGAAGCTGTTCTCACAATTTAGTCTGCTGTTATTAAACGCATTAGCTATAATATGTAAAATGGTTCTGCTTTTGTACATTACTGGGGGAAGGTGAAATAGTGTTGCTTTGTGGATGCCAGTTGGAGCCTGCCACAAGTATCTTCATTTTCGCCCCCCAGAGCCTTGCCCTCCCTCTTTCCTGGTCAACTTCATTATCTCATACCAAGTTGCATGGCTTCATTTTTCATCCTTAGTGTTCTTGACCTTGCAATTTTAATCCCAAAGTTTGTTTCCACAGCAACAGTGTGTTAAAAGCTTGGTAAACAGCTTGTGGTTGCCGGGTGTGTTAGAAGCTGTGGCTGTTGAGATCTAGTAGAAAGAAGAGGGGCCATTAGGGGAAGGCATGTCCTTGAAGAGCGTGATGGGATGCTTACCTATCCCTTCCCCTCTCATTATTTCCCAAAGATCAACTTCTTTGCCACATGCTAATCAATCATGAATTGTGTTTCCATGAACCCAGAACAACAGGACCAAGCAAATACAGATTGAAGCATCTGAAACTACAAGCCAAATGAATCTTTTCTTTTTTCTTCATCAAAGTAGATTTTCTTCACAGGTATTTGTCACAAAGATAGAAAGCTGATTAACACAGAAACAATTAGCCTCATTCAAGACAGAAGAATGTGATCTTACTAACAGAAGATGGAGAAAGGACCAAAGTAACCTCAATAATATACCTACCTAAAACTGTGTGTAGTGGATATTGTTGGAATTCAATGAGTTCTCTTGAATAAGCTTTAATGTGTCAGTTTTGATATTTGGGAATTAACCCATTGAATAGTTAGCCTGCCCAATGGTTTATACCCAGATATAAAACCATAAAGAATTGTGTTCAGGTCCATTTGCCCCAAAGCCTCTTCCTTTTGAATCACATAGCTGATGTTAAAGCAGGTAAACTCTGAAATGTAAAAGAAGCACATGTGGGTATTTCCTCAGGGATTTAAATACAGGCTCATCAGCTTGAATTTACAGGCAGTGGTGTAGGGAGAAGGGAATTGAGGATGGTGTGGGACATATAAGAAAGAGGTGGTAGTTCAGATCTGGGATGCTCCAGGTTAGCAGCCAGAGTTTCTATGAGAGTTAATAAAGGACTTGTCATATAGGTGAAAGCCAAATTGTATGTGGAGAACAAAATCTTATCCTAAGACACTCAGTTATTTGCACTACAAGCTTTTTTCCTGAAGCATGCTATTGCCTGAGACTGAAGCAGAGGCAGTAGATAGTTTAAAGGCACAAGTCAGCCAAAAACTATACCAAGAAAATGCCATGGGTGTAGCTCTATACTCACTTCCAAATGTAGTAGATGAAATGAACAGGTACAACTTGGTCTATACTATGAGGCAGGGTAAGCCATATTTGGACAACTGGCTCAACATACACTGGGCATAGATGTTGGAGAGGGCAGATCTGAAATAAGTGGATAGTCACTATAGAAAGACAATTTGAGTGTCCAGCAAGGTGTTAATATTGTGAACAAGGGACTTGTGCTCAAAGAGTGACCAAGGAAGGAGAATGAGATCAGGACTTGGAAGCACATGGAATAACAAGTCAAATCAATCTAAGTGGGGGAGTGCAAAATGTGGTAAGACGTGATACAGGTGGATGCAAGCCAGGTCTTTCTCCATGTAAGGGTACAGGGAAGTTCTGATGGGCACTAATTTATTCTGGTCTTGTGTGAAATGTGAGGTAGGACAGAAAACCAAGACATTGGAGATAGCAGCCTGCGCTGAAAGTTGAGATTCCACTTCCTGATTGTGCAACCCTGGGCAAAGTACTAATCTGAATGTGGGTAAACTCAAGTATGAAAATAAGCATTCTTACAGGGCAAATGTGGAAATATTTAGCATGATTTTATACGTACACATATATGTGCATATCTATCTTATCTATCAATATCTATCTCTGTCTGTCTAGCCACCCATCTATCTATCATCTACCTATCATATATCTGTCTATCATCTATCATCATCATTTATTTCCTTCCTTCTTTCTTATCTATCTAATAATGTGTAGTATAAGGACAGATTCAGGACACTTAACATATACAGATGCTACATAAATGGTAGTTTATGATCAAAACACCACACTGGTATAGTTTACCATTGAAAATCATTAAGATTTGCTGAGATAGCTGGACAATAAAATCCCAAGTTCAGGTTCAGTCTGGGGGAATCTAAAAGGAATAAATCAGATTCACTAGGCCAAGTTTTTTTTTTTTAATTTTATCATTTCTTGTTAACCAACTTTTACATAGTGAATGTTCGATATAACAAGTACCATGCAAGTTATCTTTCACCTATAGAACCTAAAGTTGGTTGCAC